TCCGCTTGAGCAGCTGTTCGCTGTCAAGGGGACGGTGAGGCGGCCTGTTCAGAATAATGCAGCAGCAGCAGCAGCAGCAGCAGCAGCAGCAGCAACAGCACGGGCAGCAGCAGAAGCAACAGTAGCAGCAGCAGCAACAGCAGCAGCAAGTGCTCACCCCAATTGAATAGGCTGCTGCTATCAGCAGCTGAAGGGGCCCCTAGGGGCCCCCCATCTGCTGCTGCTGCTGCTGCTGCTGTTGCTGCTGCTGCTGCATCATACAGTCTCCTCTCCTCCGGGGCAGATTCCTCCAACGACAGTTTGCTGCTGCTGCTGCTGCTGCTGTTGCTGCTGCTGCTGCTGCTGCTGCTGCTGCTGTCTATGTGTTTACTAGCAGCACTAAACCTCTTCTCTTCTTTCCTTGTCTTTGTAGTCCAGTAAGGGTCTAGAGGGGGGCCCCCCCGGTACCCTATGGGGGCCCCCCCTGCATAGGTTGCTGGGGGGCCCCCCCCAGGGTACCCTGCATCTGAGGGGGCCCCCCCAGGCGTGAGTGGGGGGCCCCCCTCCTCTGTGTTATCTTCTGTTGGGGGGCCCCCCTGAAGGTACCTGGGGGGCCCCCGGGGGGCCCCCTCACCCCTGGGGGCCCTCGGCGTGAGGCTAGGCGAGAGAAGAGATTCTGCTGCTTCTGCTGCATCAGTACCCTCTTCATTTATATTAGCCAGGGGGGCCCCCCCTTGATAGGGGGGCCCCCCTCGACGGGGGGCCCCCATATGATAGGGGGGGCCCCCCTCGGGGGCCCCTATAAGAGGAACTGCTGGGCGATAGGGGGAGTAGGGTCTTCCTGCTGCTGCTGCTGCTGCTGCTGCTGCTGGTGCTGCTGCTGCTGCTGCTGCTGCTGCTGCGGTGTCTCCGCGCTGCAGCGCCACGTAGGCCCCCATGCTCTGCTGCAGCGGCAGCAGCAAACGACGGAGACAGCTGAGCTGCTGTCTTGCTGCTTCTAGCTTCGCTCGTGTGTCAATCAACGCCTACACATAAATATATTTATTTATATAAATGTTTATTTATTTTTTTATTTATTTGTTTGTTTATATTTATTTATTTATTTGTTTATTTATTTATTTGTTTGTTTATATTTATTTATTTTGTTTGTTTGTTTATATTTATTTATTTATTTATTTATTTGTGTATATTTGTGTATTATAGTTAGCTATTATAGTTGTATATTATAAATATGTTTATATATATTATATATAATATATATATATATATATATATATATATATATATATATATG